GCACCTTAAGTTCGGAAAGCCCTCACCCGAGGAGGAGAATGTGATCCTGTCTCGGTGCCCCGAGGCCCAGGTACTTCATGTGGACTTGTCACGGCCCGAGAAATGGGATGTTAGCCCGGGGTCCGCCCTTCACACGACTCTCGTTTGGGGCGCAGTCCATGGTCGAATCTTTGGGATAGCTGGTGAGCTCGCCTCAAAGGCGGATCTGGCAACGCAGCTGTCCTGGTTGTGGGCAGTGACTTCTTCGGCCCGAGGCTACACCATACCGATAGCCGTCCACTCTGCAAGGGGCCGTGCCTTCAGCAAGGAGACCTGGCAAAGATTTCTTAAGTGGGCTAAACTCAGGGAGCATCAGGTCCTTGAGGACGCCGTGGTAGCCACAAACTGCCGGGAAGGTTCTCTAAAGGAAGCAAGATCCCAGAAGGAGCTGCGCATGGCCCAATTAGAGGTCTTCATTTCACCCAGCCCTCAGCATGCTTCGGAGGAGGACCTGAAGCGGATAGATGCCGCTTTGAGCAAGGTGCTGGGTGGAGGTCAGTCCCGGGAGGAAGGTGGTGAAGCTCCACCTCAGGCCGCAGCCTTGGCGACGGAGGAGGAGATGCGTCGGCACGTGGAGCGGGGCCACCTACCCTACGACCGTAGGTGCAAGGCTTGCGTGATGGGCAGTGGTGTGGGCCTACAACACCGTAGGGTTGAGTTTCCCTCTTCTTTTGCCCTAAGCCTTGATGTAATGGGACCAGTTGAAAAGGGGATCTTTGAGGATTCGGTAGCGAACAACCCACGCCATGCGTACGCCCTGGTGGGCGCCTACCGGGTGCCGGCCCAGATTCTGCAGTCAAGGTGGGACCCAAAGCAAGATCTGAAGGAGCTCTTTCCGGAAGATCCCCTGGAGGAGCTGGCCAGGAACCTTCCAGTCCCTTCTACTGGAAAGGAGAGCTCAAATCAGGAGCCTGAACAGGCCTCACTTGAGCCCATCCAGGAGGAGGAGGAGGAGCCAAGCTCTAAGCTGGATCAGGTCTTAGAGGAACTCAAGGAGCCCGTCCCACAGGTAGTCCTTAGGCTTGTTCGTCCGATTCCCTCGCGCAAGGGGCCGCACGTCCTACCAGCAATCCATTCTATGGTTCATGAAATTAATAGAATTGGGTTGCCGGTTAAGAGTGTTCACTCGGACCAGGGGCGCGAGTTCTTGAGCGATGCTCTGAGAGAGTGGATGGCTAAGCAGGGGATACAGGTGACTCTAAGCGAGGCCCATGACAAGAAGGGCAACGGTCTGGCTGAGCGGATTGTAGGCTGGAGCAAGCAGCGGACGCGGTGCTTGCTCGAGAGCTCCAAGCTCCCCCAGACCCTTTGGCCATTCGCAGCCGTGCATGCAGCAGGTCAGCACAAGGCTCAGGTTCTAGGCCATAAGCCCCTTCCTTACTTTGGTGAGAAAGTCCTCTATAAGAGGCCCATCCTTCCGGGAAACTTGAAGCCATGGGATCCCTGGGCTCAGGGTAGGTACCTCGGGCCCTCTCTGTCGGTGCCTGACGGGCATTCAGTTCTAAAGGAGGATGGCAACACTACCATAGTGAAGAACCTCAGAGCCGAGCTTGTTGACCCGGAGGCCAGATTGGCCGAAATGCAACGTGAAAGGGATTTGGCTGACGTCGCAAGTGACGCGGCCCCTTCTGAACCAGGTCTAGACCTTCAGCTTCCGGAGGTTCTTGAAGCCGAGGGCCCGCCGTCTTCAGATCCCCCTCTTCCAAGGAGGGTGTCCAGCAAGAGGCCTCCTAGGATAGCTGCTCTCCGAGAGCGTGATCTTGGCGAAGAGGAGGATGAGGAGGAAGAAGATGAGGAGGAGGACGATGAGGTCAGTGACACCGAAGCCACCAGTGAGAGGGCGACTCTGGGTGCTATTTCCGAGGCCCAAGTGTCGTCTCTAGGCCAGGCGTCTTCATCCAGCTCCTCAGGTTTCCCTTCGCACATTGGTCCCGTGACGGACCCGACACTGGTGAGAGCCCTCGCCCGCCTAGGTCTGGAAGGCAAGGCAGTAGGACTGCACAACCTTGGGGTCCACGAGGTCGGGGATTTGAATTTCATTTTCAGGGCCGACTTGGTAGAAGAGGGCTGGACCGAACACGAAGCGACTGTGTTCTTTCATGAGTGTGGGCTCATAGCCCCCCAGCAGAGGCCCGACAATCCACGCAAGGCATCTCAGGTTGAAGGTGGCGTTCGCCCCGTGGGCCCAACAGGCGAGGCTATGACGCTAGGGGCCATTGCAAGGGCAAGAGCACGAGCCAGGGAAGGCGGGGCTCCAGGGGGCCCAGAAGCTCCATCTGAGCATGGTGCAACAGCGGGGTCAAGTGAACCTCCGGACCCGCCGTATAATCCCCGTGTTACGAGAGCCATCCTCGAGCAGCTCCCAGCAGCCTTCTATGATGAGGTCACGGTGAATGGGCCTATTTCAAGGGACCTTCTTTCTCGTGTGGAGGAGGCGGCCCATGACGCGGATCTGACGTGCCTTCCGCGGGATGAGACTTACGCCGACAATAGGTTTCAAGGTGTTCTACGCACGTTCAAGTGCAACCCCAATGGGGTAACCCCCATCGTAGGCCGTCTTATGTTGAGGAAGGTGGCAAGATGGAGGAAGGACACGTTTGGGTTTGTCCCATTGTGTGAGGAGCCAGGTACCCCACCGGACCTGGAACAAGAGGCGACCGTCATGCTCCAGGATGAAGGAGGTGTGCCGCTACGCGAGGCTGAGCGCCTCGTGAGGTATCTTCCCTTTGAGGATCCTCACCCCGCCATAGGCAAAGGAAACCAGGAGGAGACCACTGGAGGCAAGGCCTTTTACTCTGGTGCAATGTGTCGTGGCGGTATCTCCGCACTCCGCCACAGCTGCCGAGTGAACCCGCAGGTCGTCAGGTGCCTCACCAGCATCCTCCGGAGGGCCTTTCCCGGAGCTGTGTTTAGCTCTCTGGCGGTGTTTGAAGATACCAAGGCTGAGCCCCACCGGGACGCCAGGAATGAAGACCAGCCGAATCTATTGGTAGGTCTCACAAGGTTTGGAGGCGGCGAGGTGTGGGAGCAGCATGATCTGGGAAATGTTGAAAAGGAGGTGAAGGGCAAGCTTGAGAAAGGGCGCCTGCTGAATGTTGCCAGTGGCCCTCAGAGGCTTGATGCTAAGCTCCGCCTTCACTCCACGGAGCCGTGGTCCGGGTCTCGGGTCCTACTCACCGGCTACACAGTAGCTCGCCTCGAGCACCTCAGTGCTGAACAGAGAGAGCGACTCTCTGACTTAGGCTTTGTGCTCCCCCCACCAAGGGATCCTTCATCCGCCAAGGTGGATTCGGCCAAGCAGGGATACCCCATCCAGCTATGCAAGGTTGAGGCCAATCCCATCCCAATCCCTAGGACTTGGAGGGGACAGTTTGAGTTCGCCTTAGTTCCCGAGGATCGCTTCAGGGAATACTACCGACACCCCGAGGGCCCTGACCGAAGGGAGCGATGGAGCGCAGCTGTTGAAGGATACGGGCCCTACCGAGGTGGCGCTATCTTGGAAGCCAACTGCCAGACCATGTTTACTGAGTCTGAAACTCATGAAAGGGTCACAGTTGCAGCGGTCGTGAGCGGTGTTCTTCAACGTGGGATCCATAACGGGGATGTGGTAATGAGGGAATGTCTGGACTTCCTGCGGCCCACTGAGGAGCCTCAGGGATACGAGCGGACAAGGTCCCTGATTGGGCAAGTTCTTGAGCTGAATGGAGCCGAGTTCGGAATCCGGGATTACCGGATAGGTTTCAGGTTTAGGCGCACGGTTGAAGACGTAGATAGCAGAGGAGCCTACCTGGGCGACCAGTTCTTCATGGTGTCCTGCCATGTCGAACCTACCAACAACGAGCCCTCCGTAGCAGACCTCGAACGCTACTCCAATGTCTTCCATTATGCCGACCACAGGCACCGAGCGTGCTACGAGGGAGAGCTTTCCGAATGGTACCTCCCTTCCCAATCTCTCCTCCATCAAGTGGTTGAACCGACCCTCTCGGAGCTTCAAATGCGTTTGGAATCGCTAAATCCGAACCCACCTGATGGGGGCGATTCAGGGGCTCATCAGGCTTCCAGTTCTGATGGGGGGCCCGCAGTTCGGGCTTTGAGAGCCCATGCCAACGCCGAGGACTCGAGCTTCTCCGAAGGATCTGAAACTACGGATCCGGTCACTGAGCCAAACCCAGGTTTCCCGATGCTGCCAGTTGCCCAGATAGACCCGGCCTTCCTGATCCCCTCATCGCTTCTCCTCCCTAAGCCGTGTGAGCACACACCCGGCAGGACAAGCGTCAATAGGCCTCCTCCCGAGTTGCACAAGGTAGAGGTGTTCACTCCAGATGTCGAGGCCAAGCTCAAGGCCTTGGGGGATAACCCCTTGGAAACCACGTACACGGTTTCGCCTGCCGAGGCTAGGTTGCATGCCGAGGAGTGGAGGACTGCCTTGTCGGATGAGATTGAGTCCCTTCTCTCAAAGGGCGCGATTCGGAAGGTGACAGGCAAGGAGGCTTCTGAGTTGCAGAGGGATCCACGGAGCACTCTTCTCCATGCAAAAGGGGTCTACACCGTCAAGCCAGGCAAACACCACAGTGATGGAAGGCCCCGCCAGCCCTTCCGACGGAAGGCACGACTGGTTGCCTGCGGGAATGAGTCGGCCTACACTGACACGGCCGATCTTTACGCAGCAGGCGTGGCAGGCGATATCCTGCGAGCGTCTCTCCTCCTTGCAGGAAGGGAGAAATGGAAGGCCTACGGCACTGACGTGCACACAGCCTTCCTTCTGGCTCCGCTGGGCACTTCTCGACGGTACCTCCTACGGCCCCCGGCCATCCTTCGGTCCCTAGGCCTGGTGCAAGAAACGGAAGTTTGGGAGGTGGGAAAGGCCATCTACGGCCTTCGTGAATCACCACGTTGGTGGACGGAGTACAGAGATGAGTGTCTTCGGAAGCTTAGGTTCCAGGCTCCCAACCCCGAGACCGGAGAGCTGGAAGAGCACTGGCTTGAGCAAGGTGCCACTGAGGGCAACATCTTTAAGATCCGAGGCCCCGGGAATGAGTTGAGGGGACTGCTTGTATGTTATGTTGACGATTTCCTCATGCTGTCAAGTGGAGGGATAGCAGCCTCACTTCACGCAGCCCTCAGCTCCCAACTCAAGTGGGAACTTGACGATCTACAGGAGGCCACTGCGGAGGCTCCTCTCAAGTTCCTAGGGGTAGGAATAAGTCCTTTGAAGGAGGGTGATGGTTTCGCTCTGGACCAAAGGGCCTACCTCGACGAGATGCTGTCCAGGAACGAGTTTTCCGGTCGGAGCAGCAGCGTCGTTTGCCCCAAGGAGATGCTGGAGGAAGGCGAGCCCGAAGACCCCGAGAAGGGGGGCTTTCAGCACCGGCTGAAACAGGCGCAAAAGGCGACGGGCGAACTCCTCTGGCTGGCTCAGAAAAGCAGGCCTGACTTGGGATTCATCGTGCAGTATATGTCGACGCAAACCACACGCCGACCGATGCACACCATAAGGATCGCTGAGAGAGTCTGCCGCTACCTTCAAGGGACGCGAGACACGATCCTGGAACTTCGGGCGTCCTCCAATGACGCAGTGGAGATCTACACTGATGCTTCTTTCGCTCCAAATGGGGGGCACAGCCAAGGAGGAGTTGTCATCAAATTCTTAGGTGGAACGGTGATGTGGAAAGCTTCCAAGCTCCCGCTGATCGCGATCTCTTCTGCTGAAGCAGAGCTACAGGCTCTCAGTGAAGGAGCCGTCTACGGACAGTCTCTTCAGGCCGCCCTGCGAGACGTCTCCGACGAGGAACACCCGCTGACACTCAGGTGTGACTCCACTTCGGCAATCTCTCTTGCGCATGGCTCAAGTAGCCAGCGAACCCGTCACCTGCAGGTTCGCGCCGCGGCACTTAGGCAGCAGCTGGAGACCCAGATGTCTCTCTCTCACTGTCCGGGGGACATCCAATGTGCGGATTTACTCACGAAAGCCCTAGCAGGCCCTAAACAACAGGAGCTGTCAGAGCTTGTCGGGCTCAGGTTCAACAAGGAGGCGGTTAAGGTGCAAAGCTTGAAGGTCTCTGAGACCTCCTGCGCCGAAGCGCTGAGCAAGTGGCTCACGACCTTTATTGCCTTCGCCCAGGTACTCCCAGGCTCAGGTCAGGATCCTGTTGACGAAGAAATCCCAGGGATCTCGAGCGATGCTTCGCTATATCTTGCACTGGTTGTGGTTGTGATAGCCATAGTTGGGCTTTGGGAAGGGTTGAAGGTGGTAAGTACCTCCTGCAGGCCTCGTCCTTCTCCCTCCGTGAAAGCCCTCCGCAAGAAAGAAAGGCTTCAGAATGCCGTGCGACAGGCATTGGACAAGGAGTTCACTCCTTCCTCGAGCTCTGAGAGGCCGTCCCTCGCGAGCATGCCCAGCTCATCTGTGAGCCGGGA